GGTTTGACTTAAATGAGGTTCTTAAGTCACAAACTTAAAGCGACGACTCATTTGAGTCAATAGCTTAAGATAATGACGTTTTAGAGTCACAAACCTAAAATGACAACTTTTGAGATTCACAAATTTGAAGCGATGACTTTTTAGAATTCTAAGTCTACAAATAAAAATGCGCTTTTGTAAAAATCAATGCAGAAATTATCTTACTTAAAAGTATTTTTACCTCCCCACAAACATTTTAGTTTTGAAGTTTCGCGCAAATCACTTTCGTTTAAATTAACATTGAAATGCATGCATCACTTTTTATTTTAATTTTGGCATTCCTTTTTCTTTACTTTTAACTTTTACTTTCCTCGTTACTCCCCAATAACCAATTATGTCATGAATTACATATATGGACACATAGAGAGCACAAAAATGATGAGAGAATTTACATAAACCAGTTTCGTTGGCAGCAGCATGTTTAAAATATTACACCAACAAATTAAGGTGCAATGCACTTGCAAAAAAATCATGTAAATGTCGCATGCAGGACAAGATCTTTTTGGTACTCAAATATTGTCAAATAATTTTCGATGCGGTTAGACTTTTTAATGAAAAAGTTAAACAAGCTGATCATTTTTCCATTAAATTTCTTATGCTTGTTTCATAAAAGAGGCAAAGTTTTTTGATGGATGTAAGGAGGAATAAGAATAATAAATATTTGATAAAAATTACTGCGTCGTCTTCTGTTCTGTCATCTTTTGAAGTTATCAATTTTTATATTGTTATTTGAAAATGAAGCATGAATAATTGTTTATTGGAAGATGGGATGGTCATACGGTTTTTGTAGAGTTACTAGAAGTGGTATTCATTAAAAATGATGGTTGCTGATGCATTAGAAGCTCAATACTGCTCTCGTCTTATTTTTTTTTAACCAAACAGAATATGAATAAACCATTGAATAATTTAAAATATAATCAAAACTCCTTACAAGTCATCAACTTATTCACATCAAATGTCCTTAACCATCCAAAAAACCAAAATTCCCAATCATAAAAAATTATATCAACAACTTTACATTCCAGCATGTCCATAGTGTTTATAATAATGCTTAATTCATGTTTATACAACAAAGTTGACGCAACATTATCATTATTAAGTTCCACATATGCACAAATCTCTATACAGATTCATATCATTGAATACTAAATTCTCGTTATTTATGAACAAGCTTTATTACTACTTACGGATGAATATTTTGCAACAATTTCATGTCCAATCATATAATCACTCAATTTTATTGCTGTATTTTTGTTATGCCTTAATCATAAATCATTTTTGTAATTCGTCTCGTAAAACTTGTCCTTTAAGAATAAGAAAATCCTCTCCGTTCTTATCATTTGGAGAGTTTGATAATGAAAAGAAACATGGAATGGATATCTGGCTGTTTTTTGTGGAGCAATTTATTGTAGAAAAATGCTTGGCTTGAGTACATTTTGGGCTTATACTTTTAAGGGACTTTACACGTAGTTTTTGGAGAATGGAATGTTGGGTACAGTTTGGTAGACGAAGTGTGGAAAACTGACTAAAGTTGTAAAGGAATAAGGAGCTAGTAATCAAGCATGCATGCCTCTACTATGATTTCTAAGTTCAACTATTTTTCAAAACTTCGTCATATCCATAAAAACTCCAATAACTTTCCCAACATCATCTGCAATTTTTCTTTCATTCCACTCTTCCTCTCTTTTCTGTCATATTAGTATGATACAAACCGAAAAACAACACTGAATATTATGGCGCGTTCCAAGTGCACTTCTTATTTTTACTTTACAAAAAATTTCATATGCTGCAAAAAAATGCAACTCCAATTACACAATTTTTTTTTATTATTATTATTGACCGTCGAGCGTCGTTCGCAGTGAAAGCAAAAGCAAAGCAGCTTTGGGATTATTTTTGTGAAATGTTATGCTTCAAACAGATTGTGTTTAATGTAAAGCATTTTATTGCATTTAAAAATAACGAAATCGCGAGTTCTCAAAATGGCACGCGTAATGCACTTGCTCAGTCGTCTTTTTGGATGCAAGGTGCTTTGAATAATTATTGGAATGTATTAAACAATGATGCTGAACGGAAGCTGTTGAAATTTTGGAAGAAGTCTGAGTAGATTTAATGAGAATTAATTTATAGGGTTTGAGTTGTTTGATGTTCAGCATTGACGGTTTTTGGTGGTTTCGACAATTTACATCAATTATGAAGGATCCCAAAAGTCAAAATTTTCTTAATCCCTGCAACAATGAAATATAATTCACATCTCACGGTCCAATTTCTCAATGCCAATTCATACTGTGAATTTCTCTTTCATAAATTTCATTACTTCCGTCTTAATGACAAACATCTCATTCAAATCCAAAACCAGAACTTTTACCAAAAATAAGAACAGCCTTAAGAACTTTCATAAGAAGCCAAAACTCCTTAAATCATTGTATTAGGTCAATCTGTGGTTTAAAAAGATTTTATGAGGTGCTGAAAATTTATCAACAGCCAAAAAAATCACCGATAATTTCTCATAAATTAAGGAACATTTCTCATAAATTAAAATGTTTTTTTTTTTCATTCATAAATTATTGAGAGAAATTCTGTGGCTAAAGAAATATCAATCAAAATAATTTTCATGATCATGCCACACTTTCGAATTTATTCCTCAGTCTGCATTGCGTGTGCTGTAAATTTAAACGTTTTGGCTCGATAAACGCCATCAATTATCTGTTTATAATAAAATCCCTTTTTTTGATTGAATCAATTTTTTTCGATTGGTTAAATTAAGTTAAAGGGGAATCACGCAAGGATTTCTTGATTTTTGGACCACACAAAGTAGTTGAATTGATGGGAAATAATTATGAATTAAGAGGATTTCAAGGTGTTTATTGTGTTAAATTTTGAGTAATAAATTGTAAAGTTTTTGAGCAGAAAATTATTTTTGTGAATTTTAAAAACTTTGTTTGAACTCAAAAAATCTAAAACTTCAAAAACAATCACAAAAACTAAGCCAAAATAAAATCTACTAAAACACAAAATTTATTACATTCTGACCTGGCGCCCGACCCTTTAGCTTCATAATTTATCACCTATAAATTACCTCTTAATGGACACTCAACGATCCCAATGTTCTGCAGAAAGCATTTTTGGTGTTTCCGTTTTTTTAACACCTTTTTTTTACTCTCGGTGTGATTCCGCATGATCATTATCAACACATTTCGGAAATGGAACAAAGGAACAGAAATTAATAGTGTGATTCCGAAATTGTGGTATGATTTAGAGACTAAAGTTAGTAATTAAGAGCAATCAATGTCTCATTTCGGTTTTTTTTTTGGCAAATTATCGACTATAAAAATATTGATGAGTTTTCGATACTTTTAAGAGCATTTTGAGTGGCTTTAAGTGTTTTATGATTCATAAACTCAACTATTTAATTATAGCTTGTAATTGAGGTTTCTTAAAATTCCATAAATCATTTTAATAATTGGTGATTTTCAAAAATATTTAAATGATGAACTCAGGTGAGATAAAATAAAAATCACCTGGAAATTATGTGGAAGTGTTTAACAGAAATTGGGTTAATTTTGCCGAAATTAATGAGTTGGAATAGGAAATAGCTTCAATTTTTGAATTATTGTGATGAACTAAGATTATGAAAATAAATAATCAGTAACAAAGATATAACCGATCTAAAGACATCCAAGAATACCCTTAAACCAAAATTCAGAATCCATTCAAAGCAGTAAATCCCCAAACAACGATCAACTGTTAAAAGATAAACTTTGAACTTCTATCCAAAAGCAAAAACACGTAAGCGTAATAATTATTTAATCACACATCAACGACTAGACTATTTACGTTATTAAAATATGAAAAATATTCAACACAGATACAGCAACAAAAAAAAAGAACTCATTAAACACGGAAGAGTATAGCTTCTCGCTCTCAACTGTCAGTCGATGTTATGAAAAGCAATCGATGAGAGTCAAGAAACTGAATTTCATGTCATTATTGTGTTCAATTAAGTTTGCGTGCTTCTTATCATTAATTGGTTACGGACAGTGTTTTGGTGTGCAATGTCGAACGAAAGTTACGTTCATTTACAGGTGAGATAATAGAGAATTTGTATGACTTTGCTTCCAGAGTTGGAAGTTGTGGATAGTTTTTTTTTATGTTTTTGAGTAGCTTTTGGTACAAAATAGTAGATTGTGGATTTTAACTTGTAACTAGACACTCAGTTTTAGTAGCTGCACTAGAATATTTGCGATAACGAGCTATAAATCCAATATGATATAATATTAATTCTTGAATATTCCTATGAATCATCTCATATCAAGTTACGTTCTCATAAAATGGCAAGGCCACATAAATACAACAAAACTAGATTTTAAAAGCATCGACAAGACCTAAAATCATCAGACCATGGAAGATAAATAACGATTCATTTACGAAGATGTGTATTATAATTTTAATGTTGATTTTATAAATTATTTGAAAACGGCACAACTATTTTTTTTCTATTGAATAGTGCCGCATACTTATAGTTTTGAAGATTATTCAGTAATCGATAGGCAAATTTAATTACAAATCGCAAGCCTTCATGTGGAATTATTTAATATGTTATTAATCAATCAGTGTAGCTATTATTTTTGGTCATTTGCAATCTAGATATCTTCAAATAAGTTTTATGGTTTTTCCAATCTTGACTGCCAAATAAAGTCCAATTTGACAAGAAAGAATTCATAATTCAGATAAGAATTTATTTTTATTTCATGACCTTTTTCCTTCAAATTCTAGAAAAAACTATCCACTTAAGGATGAGATAATTGATACTAAAGTTTTAATTCTTTTCCTTTTAACTCTACAGAGGCTATGAAGGCCACACATTACTAGCAGAAAATCTACATCATCTTCTAGAAGACAAAAACTTCGATAAATCGAAACCAACAGCAATTTACACTTATGGATTTTTGGAAACACCATTTATGCCATCAGTCAGGGCTGTTCTTGATGCATACTTAAAAGATGGAAACCACAACTTTATGATTGTCCACTGCGATAGTATTTTTTTGTATAATGCTTTTGTAAATCAATGATTAATTTTTAATTGCTGCAAATTTCTAACTTCCTCTATGATTCCAGAATGCGGAACAGATTGCTGATGATATCACAGATAGTTTACTGAAGTTTTATGAATCTGGTTACGATAAATTTCATCTTGTGGGATTTTCCCTTGGAGCTCAAATTGCCGGTGTTGTTGGACGAAAAGTCATTAAAAATTCTGACGGAAGGTTTAAAATTCCAAGAATTACAGGCTTAGATCCAGGAAAACTAATGCCATTATTTGGTATTTCAATAGCTAATCTAAATTATGATGATGCGAACTTTGTGGACATTATTCATGCTGAGACAAAATATTTTGGAACTGCTGAAGCTATTGGACATGCTAATTTCTGGGTAAATGGTGGAATATCGCAGCCAATGTGCAAGAGTCGGATCTTTATAAGTAAGTAGATGAATTTAATTATCCAAACTGAAATAATAATTTTTCTTCCAGTTGTGTCAGTTTGCAGTCACTTACAAGCACCAGTCTATTGGGCTGAAATCGTCAGCTCTCAAAACCCAAAAATCTTTCAATCACAGAAATGTGAAAATTACGATAAATTTTTGAATAATCAGTGCAATACCTCGGAAGCTACATCGATGGGACTTTATGTCAATTTGCAGTCACGAGGAAACTTTTATCTCCAAACAAATCACGAGCCACCTTATTCTAAGAATTAAACAATATCTTAATTTGACTTAAATTGAAATAAAGTTTGGTACATGTTTTTAAAAACTTTAATCGACTAAAATTGATAAGATTATTTTTTTTTAATTCAGAACAAATCCTAAGAAAGTAAAAACTTGAAATTTTCTCTTCAAAAACTGATAACAACTTAAACTAGTTGATAAGTTTTAAGATTACAAATATATTCTTTAATTTTAAAGTTAGTGTGCTGAAGTGGCTCATAGGCGTAGTGCTTTTGAACTATTGATCAGGTTTGAATGCGAAATCTCACAAATTTTCGATTTAAAAATCTAATTTACTGCTTGACTGAACTTATCAAAGTACTTTAACAAGAAAAATTCCAGCAATTTAATTTTCTCTTGTGCATGAAGATAAAGTCACAAAAACCCGACGCAACGTCAAACCCAAATTTATAAGATTAAACACCTGTGATAAGTACAAATTTAATTTTTCAACTGCTAAGCTTTATACTTAAGTGAAATTGTCGAGTCTGAGAAATTTTGGTCCGACAACGATAAGCAAGTTGCAAAGTACTTCCTAGCAAAAACTTTATTAAAACTCACGTACGCCAAGCAACGCGTCAGAAAGCTTTGGCAAAGATAACGTCAATGAAACGTGTGAAGAAAGGGGTGAACATACTGTTGAAAAATTATTCTAGGCTAAACTTAGAGTGACTTTAATTAATCCAAAATAAAATGTAAGGTCCCTGAAATTTTATATTAATTGAACCTTACCCAAATCTCATTATTAACCTCACTATTCAGCTTTTATAAAATTCTCTAAGTTAGCTCCCCCCTCGGATAAGAATTTATTTTTAGCATTTTTCCTTCAAGCTTTCAGCTGCGTAGAATTAAATGATACGCAATCAGAAATCAAACCTAATCTTAATTGTTATTTATGGACTGGAGAAGATATAAAAGAAAGTTTATTTTTTACTTTCAGTTCAGATCTTAAAATTGAAGCGTTTAGTCATGTTCGGCAAAATTTTGATTGTTTTAGTTGCTTTAGCAGCGACTGCTAGTGCTCAGAGCTGCTTAAGTTTTCTGTTCTATACTACGTAAGTTTTTGTGCTGAATTTCTCACTCGAATGAAATTTTTGAACTTTTAAAGTGAATTTTTAAAAGTAAAATTTTTTGAAATTGAAAAGTTGTGCATTGAAATTTTAAAACTTAAAGTTCAAATTCAATAAATCAAATATCCCAAATTTTAAAACTTTTTTTCAGTGCCACAAATATTGTTACTTACTCAACTGCAAACTTAACAGGCATTCTGACAAACCCAAACTTCAATAGACAAAGAGTTACAGCACTTTACATGTATGGATTCCAACAAGCAATTAGCACACCATCAGTAGTTCAAGTTCGTGATGCCTACATCCAAAATGGAAATCACAATTTCCTTCTCATGGATTGTGACAGCTCATACACTGCTGTTGTAAGTTTAAGTCTCAAAAAAGTTAAACTTTTATTCAAAATCCTACAAAAATTTAATATTTTGGACTCACCTCCGTCCCTACGAATTTTTAATTTGGCTATTCAAATAAATTCAAAATTTTCTTTGTCAACTTATTTCAGAACGCAAACAGCCTTGCCGATGAAGTTTCCGACGTACTTTTGCAATTCTTCAATGTCGGTTATGAAAGTTGGCATCTTGTTGGATTCTCTTTGGGTGCTCAAATTGCTGGCATGACTGGACGTCATGTAAGAAGGAAGTCACTCAGAAGACACAGCGTTCCAAGAATTACAGGCATAGACCCAGGTCAACTCCCAATCGGACTTTTTAGCGATATTAATGCTGATGATGCAGCATTTGTTGATATTATTCATGTTGAGACTGTACATTTTGGAACTGTTAATGCTGTTGGACATGTCAACTTCTGGGTTAATGGCGGTGTTACACAGCCAATGTGTACTGGTGCTGTTGCTGTTGGTAAGTTGATTGAATTTAAATTTTGGTTCTTGGAACTAACGATGAGTTTCCAATTTTCAGTTGTTGCCACATGCAGTCACTTGATGGGACCAACATACTGGTCTGAAAGCCTCACAGCCAATAATCCAAACATCTTTAGAGCACAACAATGTGCGAGCTGGGATGCATTTGTTAATAATCAATGTGTAAATAACCCAACATCACCGATGGGAATTGGAGTTAATTTCAATGCACAAGGAAATCACTTCTTGAGAACAAATCTTGTTGCTCCTTTCTCGTTAACATAGGAATATTTAGTTGTTATAGAAACAGGCAATTTCTGTGAAATATGCAAAATACCTAATTGTCAAATATAGAATTTTAAACCTTTCAAAGAAAAATTCACACAATAAAAATATTATTTAAATTTATTATTTAAATTTGAATTTTGAAATAATTTAATTTTTGAAATTGAATAATTTTTTATATTTCATTTCACACTAAACTCAACCCTATGAAATAACTTAAAATACTAACTTTCCAATTTTTGCAATATAAATAAAAATACAAAAATCTTATCTTCATAGATTAAGTCTTAATTAATAATTGTTTCTATAAGCCTGATATAATTTTGATACCAGACTTTCCAGACACACCCATCACCTGAATGACATTTTTCGAAAAATTCCAATTGTTATCAACTTCCTTTGTTTTTGTTGCGAAACCACGCGACTTAAATGTTGTGATCACTGCTTTATCAACTAGGAATTGTTTTCGGAAGCTGATAAGATTTGAACTATATACGCATTAAATAAATAGTGCAGTTATAACTAAAAGTATATAAATATAGTAATCCTGCCAACAGTTTCATTTTGTGAGTAGCTTTTAAACTAAAATGTTGTTCAAGAGTTTGATTTTATTAAGTGCTTTAGTGTCTGTGGCTCATTGTGATCCTCGACTTAGATTCATCTTTTACTATGGATCTACTGATTTTATGGAAACTGCAGAGTTCAGTGCAACTAATTTAGAAACTTTGCATGCACATCCAGCCTTTCAACGAAATATTAAGACAGTAATGTTCCATTATGGAGTTGGACAGTCGGTTTCATCAAATCCTGTCTTTGATATTATCACATCCTACTTGTTCAACCGAGAATACAATTTTGTCGTGATTTCTTATGAGAATAATAATGTTGTGTCCACTGATGTGAGTAACTTGAGACCATGATTAATCTATGCATCCTGATTTACTCAAAACTATTGAAATTTTTCTTAAAAATTCCAATTTCAGACTGCTGTTGATCTCGCTGAAGGAATCGCATCAGCTCTTATTCGTCTCTTTGATGTTGGCTATAGTTCTGGGAACATGAATCTTCTCGGTTTCTCACTCGGTGCTCAAATCGTTGCTAGAGCTTCACGTCGTGTACAAGCCATCAGTAACCGTAGACACATCATTGGACGCTTAACAGGATTAGATCCATTTAATATTGGACCAATCTCAGCTGTTAGAATTGGACGAATGAGCTCAGCTGATGCACAATGGGTTGAATCGATTCATACAGAAAATCCAAATCGTGGTGATCATTTATCGACTGGACATGTTCAATTTTACTTTAATGGTGGAATTAGTCAGCCACAATGTACTCAAATCAGTCCAATTTCTCGTTGGGATTGCAGTCATGACTTTGCATTAATATACTGGGCTGAGTCAGTTAGATCAACAGTTCTTACATTCCCAGCCCTTCAATGTTCAACTTGGGAACTTTACACTGCTGGATCATGCAATAGTAATAGCATTGGACATATGGGAAGAACAACAGAGTCTAATTTAAGAGGTGCATACTTTTTGAGAACCAGTTTAACTCCACCATATGCTAGAAATACAGCATTACCTTAAAAATCATAATCCCTGCATGTGTATGGAAAAATCGAGAAACTATCGACGTCACAAATTTAATCCTCATTATAAGCAATAATTTATTAAGATAAGATATTTTTATGAATGAAGTCGCTTAGTAAATACAATAAATGTTATCTGGAATGAAGTTTATTTCATTATCAGAGCACGTGTTTAATTCTGTTCTGGTATCTTAGTAGCTTATATTTTTAATTAAATGGGAGGGGAGTTGACTATGTCTGTTTGATGTTTTCAAAGGTATCTAAAACATAGCTTCAACAATGTCTTGATAACTGTCTCAAACCCCCCAGCATTGCTGATATAAAAGAACTAATCAGCAATATTATTTTGGCTATCATATCAAGACCAAGTTTAAACTTCAGATAATTCTAGCAGGTGCTTGTAAAACTTTATGTGTATCATTATCAGTAAATACTCAATTTTATCAATATATTAATTTAACAAGCATCCGTTCGATAACTCATTTCGTTGGCAAATTTTAAGCGAAAATGTTGTTCAAGACTTTATTTCTATTGGCTGCTCTAGCATCGGTCGCAAATTGCGATCCAAGATTGAGATTTGTTTTCTATTTTGGGTAAGGAATTGTTTTTTTGAAAAATACCTTAAAAACTTAAATGTGAAAAATTTAAATGTGAATCCACAGAACCGATTTTGTTGAAACAGCTGAATACAATGCACTGAACTTGGGAAACTTGTTCACCCATCCATCATTTAATCGAAATGTTCAGACAGTAATGTTCCACTATGGAGCTGGTCAGTCAATATCGTCAATTCCAGTCAATGATGTCATCACTTCTTACATTTTTAATCGTAACTATAACTTTGTCGTGGTTGCATATGAGGATAGCAGCATTGTGAACACTGATGTAAGATGAATTATGTAAGAAGTTGGACATAAAGTTAAATTTAATCCTCTAATTCTAGAATGCTGTTGATCTTGCTGAAGGAATCGCTGAAGCTCTTATTCGTCTATTCGATACTGGATTAAATTCAGGAAGCATGAACCTCCTCGGATTTTCACTCGGTGCTCAAATTCTTGCTCGTGCTTCTCGCCGTCTTCAAACTATTACAAGTCGTAGACACATTGTTGGACGTTTAACAGGACTTGATCCATGGAACATGGGTCCAATTGTAGCTGTTAGAGTCGGACGTTTAAGCTCAGCTGATGCACAATGGGTAGAATCAATTCATACAGAGAATCCAAATCGTGGTGACCACGAATCATTTGGACATGTTCAATTCTTCTTTAATGGAGGAACTGCACAGCCACAATGTAACCAAGTCAGTCCAATTTCACGTTGGGATTGCAGTCATGACTTTGCACTTACATACTGGGCTGAATCAGTAAGATCAAGCGTACGCACATTCCCAGCTTTACAGTGCTCATCATGGGCTTTGTATGAATCGGGTGCTTGCAATAATAATGATGTTGGACATATGGGAAGAACAACAGAGGCTAATTTGAGAGGACCATACTTCTTAAGAACCAATTTGACTCCACCATTTGCCAGAGACACAGCTTTGCCTTAAATCGACCTTCATAATGTTTTGTTCTGCCTCCAAATGGAAAACCCATCCCGATAAGAACTAATTTTACACTTAATCTTCTTAATAACTTTAATAAAGTTAATTGGGAAGCTTTAATGATATCTTATCAGCAAATACTTTTCATTTTTCACTTTTTTTTATTCTTGCAAAAAATAAAGGAATTTTCTCTCGTGAATTTCAGTTTACACTTTGTCATTGAACGATTAAGTCATGATTGGTAAAAGTTTTATTCTTGTTTTCGCCTTTGCGGCAATTGTTTGTGCTGATAGCCGTATCAATTTTATTTATTATCATGAGTAAGCATTAATTTTTGGTTGAACTGACCTGAGACTATTGAGAACTTTTGCTTGTTATTGCATGCAATGTTGGTAGCTTTGCAAGTAAATTCGTTAAACTCTTTTTCCTTTTCAGTGGCACAACAACTGAATATTCTACAGATACGCTTCCACAAGTCCTTTCTCATCCATCATTCCGACGAACTGCTGAAACTGTTGCTTTTCATTATGGAGCTGGTCAGAATCTTGGATCTTCTGAGGTTTCAGATATTATTAACTCTTACATAAGCAACGCTCGATACAATCTTATTGTCGTTCATTACTTTAGCATGGAATCTATTCACACTGATGTAAGGCATCAACTTAAAAAGATATTAGAGTCTTAACCTACTCTTAACTTATATTCTAGAACGCAGTCGCTCTCAGTGACAGTCTCGCTACAGCCTTCACTCGTTTCTTTGATACCGGCTATAACTCAGGCTTTATGAATTTCGTTGCACATGGACTTGGTGCACAAATCATGGCTCGAGCATCTCGTTTGATTCAAAGCCGCTCAAACTTTCGTCATGTTATTGGACGTTTGACTGGGTTAGATCCAGCAAGTATGGGACCAGTTGCTACAATTCAAATCGGAAGATTAAGCTCAGCAGATGCACAATTTGTTGAAACTATTCACACCGATGGCACATTGAATGGAGATCATTTATCATTTGGACATGTCTCGTTCTTCCCAAATGGTGGAGAAAACCAACCATTCTGCACAAATCCAGTTCCACCATTAAGAGCCAATTGTAACTCTGTATTTTCGCTTACAATGTGGGCTGAGTCAGTCAGAGCAGTTTCACAAATTTTCCCGTCTTTACAATGTGACACATGGCCACGATATACAGCTGGAGTTTGCAATAACAATCATGTTGCACATTTGGGACGAATTACTGATAATAATTTACGTGGAACCTACTTCTTGAGGACCAATGATGCTCCACCATTTAACCGCGAAACTCCATTCCCATAAATTTTATTGAGTATGAAAATTGTTGATGGAAATGAAATAAAATTCTTGAAAGTACAAAAATACTTTTTGCGTCTTAAAGTTTTTTTTTTGTTGTATATTTTGGCTTTGATAATTAAATTTTATAATTATCAGCTATTTAAGGATTAACTTATCTAATCAACTGGTGCTATAATTGAACTGCTTGACTTGATAAGCTTAATCAAAATATTCTTACAGCAGTAAAAGTAAATTGTCTAGTACTTTCTGAACCTTGGAGAAATCAAAATGTTGTGGAAAAGTTTGTGCCTTATTTTTGCATTAATTACATTAGTGAACTGCGATGCCAGGATTAGATTTAGATTCTTCCATCAGTAAGGAGATTAAAGGCTTTCTTTTAAGACATTTTAAATAATTTTTTTTAAATTTTACAGAGGAGCTGCAGTCGGTGATTATACAACAGCAAACTTCTTCGAGATAATCAGTCATCCAAATTTCGTTCGTACTAGACAAACTGTAATGTTCCATCATAGCGAAGACAACACACTTACTACACCTCAAGTTCAAGATGTTTTGAACTCATACGCAGTTAATGCGGATCTGAACTTCGTTATGATTCATTATGATAACGCAAATACAATCAGTACTGGAGTGAGTGGATTATTATATTTGGATTCCTTAGTACTTATTGAAATCTCAAATAATAATCAGAATTGATATTGAAAAGCCTAGTAATTTAATGATCAATAATTTCTCTTTTTCAGAACTCTGTTGACTTGGCAGCTGGAATATCTGACAGTCTTCTTTTCCTTTTCAACTCTGGCTACAACTCTGGATTAATGTCACTTATTGGTCATGGTCTTGGAGCGCAAATTATGGCTCGCGCATCTAGAAATGTCCAAACTGACTCAAACAGACGCCACATCATTGGCAGACTTACAGGATTAGATCCACTTGACATTGGATTAATTACTGGTCTTACTCTTGGTCGATTGAGCTCAATTGATGCTCAGTGGGTTGAATCAGTTCATACAGAATCAGGCAGTTTTGGTGATTTAGGATCAAATGGTCACATTGCATTCTTTGTCAATGGCGGTGAAACTCAACCAATGTGTGGTCAAACACTTCCTGGTGCTAGAGCACGTTGCAGTCACGAATTCGGAATGACATACTGGGCTGAGTCTGTTCGTTCAGCTGTTCCAATTTTCCCATCACTTCAATGTGACACCTGGAATAACTTTATGGTTGGACAGTGCAACAACAACTTTGTTTCTTACATGGGACGTGCTAACTGGTCTGCTAATTTGAGAGGAACTTATTATTTGCAGACAAACATTCAGGCTCCATTCACTAGAGATCGTGCACCTCCATTTTAAAATTGCTAGATTTTAGTGGATTGTTTTATGAAGAATAAAAGAATTTTTGACTTGCATGAAATTTTAACTTTTTCCTTTATGATACTTGATTTTGAAGGATGCCAGGACCGAAAGTTTTAGATGTGTTCTAGTACACAGTCCAGGATATCTCTGCAATATATTTCAGATCATACAAAAATACTATATGTGCAAGAACTTACTAGACTGAAATCACCTTTTCCATCGTTATCATAAACATTTTTTGAAATAAAAAATCCCACAACTATAGCAAATGTACAATAATCGTGCCTTTTGTACCCATTCGCCGATAATTTCAGTTCTTATCATATAGTTTTAAAACTCAAAAATAATAGTGAAGTTCGATATTTTTCAAAAAACTTACTATAAATGTGAGTAAAATAAAATTTCCTTGGCACTTACTGTCTGCTATTAAACGTAAAATGTTGGTTAAGAGTTTAGTTGTGATCTTATCATTGATTGCCTTAGGCAGTTGCGATTCTCGAATTAGATATCGATTTTATAGAGAGTGAGTAGTTTTGTAGCTTAAAATTTGATTTAAACTTACCCAAAAAATTGATAAATTGAAAATTAAAATAATCCTAGCCTACAAAAAAAATCAATCTTACCTTCCAGAGCTACATATGTTGATGACTACACATTCGCAGACTTCAACACAATTTTAAGCAATCCAAGTTTCAGCAGCTCAAGACAGACAGTCATTTTCCATTATGGTGCCGGTCAAACTCTCGCAACACCACAAATCCACGACATTATAACTGCATATGCTGTAAATAGACAGTTTAACTTTATCGTTATTTTCTATGACAATTTAAATACGATCAGCACAGGTGTAAGTTAAATAATGACTAGCTGCTCCCAAAATAAAATTTTCAACAAACTTTTTCAATATTTAGGAAGCAAACGCTCTAGCTGAAGGAATTACAGTCAACCTTCTTGAAATCTTCGACCGTGGCTACAACTCAGGACTCATGAACCTTCTTGGTTTCTCTCTTGGTGCACAAATCATGGCTAGAGCTTCACGTCAAGTCCAATCACGTTCAAATCGCAGACACATTGTTTCAAGATTAACAGGTCTTGATCCATGGAATTTGGGAGCAATTTCTAGCATCACTGTCGGAAGATTAAGCTCATCTGATGCACAATGGGTTGAGTCTGTCCATACAGAAAGCTCAAATCGTGGTGATCATGAATCACGTGGACATATTGCATTCTTTGTCAATGGTGGAGTTGCACAGCCAATGTGCACGCAAACACTTCCAACAACAAGATGGGATTGTAGTCATGTCTTTGCACTAAGTGTATGGGCTGAATCTGTTCGTGCTTCAAGTCCTATTTTCCCATCACTTTCATGTGATTCGTGGTCTCAATTCCAGGCTGGTCAATGCAATTCAAATCAAGTTGCTAATTTAGGCAGAACAAGCTTCAATACAGCTATTCGTGGATCATATTTCTTGTCAACTAATATGCAAGCTCCATGGTCGAGGAATCAGGCTCAACCTTAAAGAATATTCTGTGAAAAAATTGTTTGAATAAATCATAAATTTTGAAGTGAATTTTTTTTAAAAAAAAACTTTAGTCGCTTTGATTTGAATTATTTTTGATACTCAAATTCTCTCTCAAAATTGAGCACTAAAACTTCATTCATAACTACTCGAAAATTGTTATCTTATCGATTTTCAATTTATAGTATCTTAAAGTACGACAATCAGCAGATATAATAAAAAGATTCTAAATCTAATCGCAATAATTAAGATACAGCAAGTAATTACCTTTAATCTTATCATGTTTAATAATACCTTTTGATGATAAGGAAATAAATATTTTCAAAGAGCTTAATGTTGTGAAAGTTTACTTGTGTTTCTGACTTTCTTAAGGCAATGAAGCCATTTTTTGGAGTTTTTGTGATTTTTGTGGCATTTTTTGGTGCTGTAAGATGTCAATCATTCGATGATCAGCTGATGTTTGAGCAGTTTTATGGGTGAACATTAATATTCTTATTATTTCTAATTGATTCTTAATAGACTTTCCACTCTAGATCAGCATTTGATCCCCAAATGCAAATCTATGACGTTCGATCATTCCAGAACATCATAAACCATCCACACTTTAAAATGAATGCTCCAACTGTGATTTTTCATTTTGATGAATTTGAAACAAATCGAGATCAGCATATTGCAGAAATTATAACGTCATATCTGTATATGGAAGAATATAATATGATTCTTGTGGATTATCAGGATGTGAACATTATTTCTGATAGTGTGAGTTAATTACTGAATTTTAGGAACACCTTACAGTGGCTTAATACTCAATTTTCTCGATAGGCAGCTTATGATCTTGCTCAAAGTGTATCTCGAGGTCTTGAAGGTTTTCTAAGAATCTTCAATCCACAATTGGTCCATTTTTTGGGTAACGGAGTTGGTGCCAATGTCATGTCACATACAGCTGAAATCTTAAGGAGTAATGGAATCACAGTTTCTAGATTGACTGGATTAAATCCCAGTAGAATTTCACATCATGCAACATTTGTTGATTCAATTCACACAGAAGGTAAGTTGCGATTGAAACAAATTAAGGAAGCATGAAAAGATTTAGGGGTTCTTTACGACTAATTCCTTCAGAAGCTTATTCTTGTGAAATTTATTTTTATTCAAATTCCAGAATCAAATTTCAATCCAAATTTTGTTGGTCAAGTTTCATTTTTTATCAATGGCGGAACTCATCCACAGCCTAGATGCACAGGTATAGTTTCATGTAGCAGAGATTTTGGAAAAAGAGTTTGGGCTGAATCAGTTCGATCAGAAATTCCCAATTTCCCAGCCTTACCTTGCTCTAGTTGGATCGATTTTATGAATGGTGAATGTAATCAAAATGAGCCGATTGGAAATGCAGGAATTTTTGCACATAGTTCCTTACGTGGAAGTTACTTTTTGCAGACAAATACTAGAGAACCGTGGTCGAGACTAACTGCTTTTCCAGGAACATAAGTTTATTAATATTTTTAACTTGATTGCAGATTTGCACAATTTTAAAAATGCCAAATAAAGAATCATTTAATTAAGAGTTTGTGGAATCATTCATGATTAATGTCTATGATTACTTTGGACATTACTTGGGAATGACTACTTATTGTTCTGTCTTTAAACTCAGATTTAATTCCTATTGTTTGGAACTTTGATTTATGAATTTTTTTTTTTGAATATTTAATGTGAGAAAATTTTAGCAATTCAATCATTTTCCAGCAGTACTGTTCATCAAGATTATTTTCATTCTCTCTTTAGATTCAGTGCTTACCGATTCTGAAAACTGTGCAAGAAATTTAAAATAAATTAAAATTTAAGGCTTATTAAAATGAGCATAAAACTGTTAAACTTGATAATTATAGCTTTGGTAGCATCTACATGCTCAATATCATTTGGAAGTGTACCAGAAATGACAAAATTTACAACAAGCTGCATGATTGAACATAGAATTAGTCCACTGACAGTAAGAAAACTCAAAAATGGCGACTTAAGTTTAAATGATAAGAAAAGTCAGGTAAGCTATAATAATTCCAAAGAAAATAAATTTCTATTCCAACTCATCGCTTCTATTCCTAGTGTTTCATCAAATGCCTCCTCGAAAAAGTCGGTCTCATTGAAAATGGGGAGTTCCTTACTAATAATTCAAATAAAATCATTGAAATTTCAAACGGAAACGAACAAATTCTTAGAATCCACGAGGTTTGCAAAGATATCAAGGGAAACGACGACTGTGAAACTGCATTTTTATTGTATGAATGCTATTATGATAATAAATCATTGTGAGCATTTTTAATTGACATTAACCGTTGGTAGTTTTGTGATTTGATTTGATTTGATTTGAGTTATAAAGATGAAAATTTCAGCTAGATTTCTGGATTATCTAGGACTTTAAAGGTCAAATATCAATGATGTTCAATTGTCAGGGAGCAATCGGGTGGAGAGAAACTAAAATCTTAATAAAGCGTACCCAGTTATCACATGATCAAATTTTAACTTAATTTTAATTCTCATAAATCACCGTAAACAAAGCAATTAAAATTTGCTGACCTAGCTGACGAGCTGTAAAATTGCATAATATCAACAATTTTTCATTCACTTATGCTTGTCATAATTTTCAAGTTCAGCATGTAAATAAATGCAAATTTAGCAGAAACAGTTACATAAAAAGTCTACCGGGAAGTAAATGAAAAAAATATAAAAATTCAGCATTTCTACAATTTTCGAGCAGCTCATTTGCATATTCTCCCACCGCTTTAGAACAATTAAATTCCAACTATAAATTAGCGTATCATCAGTACAGAAATTTATCAGAACTTAAAGTAACTTCAAGCTGTTTACATCAATACAAAATCTTATAAAACTCATCATGAAATTCTTCATCTTACTTGCAATTGTTGCTGTTGCTGCTGCTGCACCATTTACCGAAGAACAACTCAAAAAAGGTCAACAGCACGTGAAGAAATGTATTGGAGAAACAGGAGTTTCACCAGAAACTGTAGCCAAACTCAAGGGTGGTGACTTCAGCGATGACGATGAAGCTGTTCAGTGCTTTGCTCTCTGCTTCTTCCGTGAAGCTCAATTCACCGATGCTTCTGGAAATCAGAACAAGAACGCCATCATTGGAAAGTTATCTGTTGATAAGGATCCAAAGGCTGTTGAAGCTGCTTATGAGAAGTGCAAGGGAGTCACTGGAACATCACCATGCAACAAAGCATTCAATGCTTACAAGTGCTACCGATCTGCTGGTTTGTTCTGAGACTATGACTGAACTTTTTGGCATTTATTGTAATTTTTTGTTATCTAAAAAATAGGAAAATTTTTAAAAATAAAATAAATTATTGAAAGTTGTAATAAAATCGGATATTTTTAAATGTATACTCAAATTTCATACCAGATCCCATTCCATACTCAACAAACCAACAAACTTGCATAACGAGGGATTTGCTATTAAATCTCCACTCACACTCAAAACAAGTCCATACTTTACATTTTTTGCTGCAATTTTTTTTCTCTCTTTTCTCATTCAACGTTTTCGATGAACTTGAACTTGACTCTGTTGTTAAATTTATTGCTGCTAATTTTTTGCAAGTTGAGAAAAAAAACCAGTCAATGATTATTAATGATTATGACACATTTTGTGTTTATACGGTCTGTGAGCATTTGACACTGATTTCGAGGTACAACAAAGGACTTGTTTGCTGTAGTTTTGGCATATGATGGCTACATTTTATGGTTTGGATGTTGTATAACACTAAGGATGGATGTGATCAAAGGAATTGATAGAAATTTTTTGAAAAAAATCGAATCAAATCTCAAAGTCGTTATAAGTCAACTTAAGTTTCAGACCCTCTCAAATTCATAAATGTGGACTTAAATAATGAAAAAACCCCAAAATAAAGCTAATGATCATTATTGTTTCTTTTTTCTTATGCAAAAGATCAAATCGTCGCGTGTATAAAATCCTTATGAGGACAAAAAACTTAACAGCAAGGCATTATGACTCATATTGGTGCAATATTGGCAGCAACGCTTAAGTTGCTTATCAAGTCATCTTCTAGAATTTATGTTAAATCCACAATAAATATTTCACATCTCCCAACATTGTATAAATTGGAATAAAATTAACTTAAAATTGTCATAATGAAATATACACCCAATAAAAATATTAATATGACAACAAGATTGTTTACTTTCGTGTCCATAAATATTGCAAACCACGTGAGAAATAAGGGGAGATTCCTTGAAGTGTTAAGTAATGAAAGTGAAATTATTATGCAATAACAATAAAACAAGCAACTGAAATGTAAATAATTTCAGCAATTTAAGTATCTCCAAAAGTGCAACTCATCATTGTCACATTAAGTCTGCAATCGAGACAAAAATACCCAAAAATGGTCGAAAAATGGAATTAAATAAGATTAATACTTGTTAAAATTAATCACAATACAAAAGTCTCATAAATTATCGAGCAACGAAACTCATTTTAGTGCATGAAATTTTTCAGTATAAATAAGGAGAACATTTTGATGCAAATCACCAGTTTCTGTTCTGAATTAGACGGTGATTTTAGAAGAAAAAAATTATTAATTAATAAAATGAAGGTTTTAGTGCTCATTGTCGCTGCATTCGTTGCTGTTAATGTAATTTTTTTATTCCCGCTGATAACTGAATTCCTAATAAGTCCTTTTTCTTTTTTTAGGCTCAAACAGCAGACCAAAAAGAAAAGGTTAAGCACCATGTTAAGGTTTGTTCAGAAAAGGTTGGAATTCCAGAAGATGAAGGCAAAAACTTGGTCTATAAAGTAATCACTGATAATAAGGAATCATACCAGTGCTTTGCTAAGTGCTTTTTAGAACAATCAGGTAAATAAGCCTATTTGTGGCTTGATTTGAGCTTTGGGACCAGTTGAAAGTGGGGTTTAAGTAGTTCCAACGCCTGACATTTAAGTTTGTTAACAAAAATTCCAATTCTATATTCCTTCCAGGATTCACTGATGCTGCCGGTAACTTCCAAAGACAAGTAATCTTCGACAAACTCAGCATTGCCCTTGGAGGTACAGAAGACGCTGAAGTTGTCACCAATCTCAATGAACTCATTGACACATGCACAAAGTTGACTGGAAGTGGAGAATGTGGGACTGCTTTTGAAGTACAAAATTGCTATTGGAGAAAGATTCATGGACATTAAGCAAATAATTAAGAGTACAATCTGAAGTTCACTTGACAAATGTTTAGTGATTTGAATAAATAAGCTAAAGAAGCCTTTAGCTAATAAAGATGAATAATTAATTTTTGAAAATTAATCTGAGAGTTTTTGAACTTTGTATTTAAATTCTAAGTATGTTGAATTAGCTGTTTCAGAGCACATGCAAATTAATTTTTTGTTACTCGCTAAGACATTTTAAATGGATTCAATCTAGAACAATTTCGAGATGTCGTTCATTGAATTTCATCATCACTTGTCAGTCCACATTATTATCATAATAACATGTCAATAAATTCTTCTCTCACCTTCCAATTCCACAGAAATTTCACTCAATGACTCACCATATAAGCTTGTCACTTAACATTGACCAAATTATCAATAAAAGTCTTTCCATTTTTAACTTTTGTCACATGACTGTTGATAGAGACTATTCCATACACTGATAGTAGCAAGTTGTGTCTGTTTTCTTCTGCACTGATCGAAGGTTATGTTCAATTATTAACGTTCGGTCGCATCAAACCTTCTTGTACTTGTTTACATTGAAAGCGAAAGAAGAAAGATAAATGGAAAGGTAAGAAAAAGCAGACGAGCGAGAATTTATTCATGAGAGATGAAGAGTGTGTGACATTTGTCCCTTGTGGATGATTCTGGTGGAAATTGCTAATTTTTGGATGGTTTGATGGATGTTTGAGAATGGAAAACACTTGAGTAGCCACTTACAGTTCACTCATAATATTCAAAAACTCTATTAGAATATTCTGACAAAATCAGCACACCAAAACATTCTCAGTTACACTGCATGAAAATGACTTATACAGTAAGAAGAAAGCCTTGCTAGAGCCTCTCAAGATTCAACAAAAGAACTCACATTACCCATAATCAGTAAACAGCTTACTATTCAAATAATTATAATGTCGATGCTCTCAACGTCACCTTTAACACACCACACACGTAATATAGAATAAATCATGAGATGCTTAATTTGAATTTATCAACAAAAATTATTATTGTTCTTCTTTCGACTATATCCCCACCATTTAACCATTTCACGTTGAACTTCATCAACTTTTAAGACTATATAAAGCCATTCACAGGTTTTCGATGAATCAAAAAATATTTAGTCTCGATTGTGTATTTCAAGAAGAGAGAATTTATTAAAAATATTCAAAAATGAAAGTAGCAGTTGTACTTTTGACATTTGTTGTCTGTGCTTTGGTAAGAATTATTCTTGTTTTACTGCATTGAGGTTTAGTAAATTTGATTTATGAATTTGTGAAGACTTTTGAGATTAATTAAAAAAATGTTATTATATATTAGAGTATCACAATGTCCCAGATCCAAATCATATTGTGTTCAGATTATTTTTATTTTACGAAATTCATAACCAATAATTTTAAATTTTCAGGCTTTTCCTCACCATGATGGAACAGATCATGACCATGATGATGCAGACAAAAAAGAAAAAATCAAGAAGATCCATGAATACAGCAAACAATGTGTTGAGGAAACTGGAACTACAGATGAAGTTTCTAAATTACTTGTAAATGGAGATTTCAGTGTTCGTGATGAAAAGGCACAAGTGAGTGATTTTAATATTGAATTTAGCTAGGGATAATGTTGAATTGATCTTTGGAACTTAAAAAATGATATTTATGAATGGAATCAGATCGTAATCAATTAACATTTTCCATACATTTTTCCAGTGCTACGTCAAATGTTTCTTCAAGAAGTAAGTTATTTAAATCTTAAATCTTTGTGAACCTTTAACTGATTAAAAACTCTTTCTTTTCATTCCTTCAGAGTTGGTTTAATGAACGAAGCCGGTGAACCACAATCAGACGTCATCCTAGAAAAGCTCAAGAAGAAGAAGGTTGACACTGACGATCTTGAAGGATTAGTCAAGGATTGTGTTAGCAGAAAGGGTGAAAATGAATGCGAAACTGCTTTTAACATCTACGAGTGCTATAGAGTCCACGTCACATACAGTCATGAATTCAAAAATGAAGAAGAGAAGAAACCTGAAGACGAGAAGAAGCCAGTAGAAGAGAAAAAACCAGTAGAAGAGAAGAAAGCAGAAGAAGAGAAGAAAACAGAATAAGACTTTTTTGATTTTAACTCATTTTTGTAGAGTTTGATGAATAAAAATGCACAAATTAACTTTTGTATGAACTGAGAAAATTTTATGTGTTCTGTTATTGATTTACTTTTGTTAGAAAATGGAATTGGATTTTAATCTCGTGGCGCATTCCATGAGAACATTAGCATTAAGAGTTTTTTACAGTTAGAAATGGGAAACATCTATATTTTCATAAACCATTTTTTATGAAGAATAATATAAGGGAAATCTAGTAGAACTTACAATATCAAGACAGGAATATTCTTGCTAACATTCAGACCAACTTTGTTTAATTAAATCTTATCTATTTATCATTCAAAGCAATATTTCAGAACCATTGATGTTTGAATTTTAGTTGATAATTAATATCATTGTCAAAAATTAAAGCTTTAAGCTTTATGCTTTACTTATTCCGTATAAAAATCGAAAATATTTTTTTGTGTTTAAATTGAATAGAATTCTGACAAAATAGTGCATACCAAAACCTTTCCCACTTACACTGTATCAGAAAAGAACTTACTAGAGCCACTTAATCCTCAACAAAAGAGCTCACAATACTTTTAATCAATAAACAACTTACTATTCAAATAATTATACTGTCAATACTCTCAACGCCACCTTTAACAAACCACACAAGTAAGACTTAATAAAGAATAAATTATGAGATGCTTAATTTGAATTATTAACAAAAAATAATAATTATTATTCTTCTTTCGACTATCCCCCCACCATTTATCATTTCACATTGAACTTCATAAAACTTTAAGACTATATAAAGCTATCTACAGACTTCAAAAGGATTCAAACATTCTAAGACTTAATTCAGTGCTGATTGTGTTTCAAGAAAGAATTCATTTAAATATTCAAAAATGAAAGTTGCTGTTGTACTTTTGACATTTGTTGTCTGCGCATTGGTAAGAAATGTTTTCGTTGTGCTGCATTTAAATTTATTCGGCAATGCAAATCGACTTTGCTGAGGACTGCAGTTAACAAAAATTGAAATTAACTCGATTTAATGTTGAACAAACTGCCACGGAAAATTGGTCATATTATATCTTATTTTCCCAGGCCATTCCACACCATAATCATAACCACGATGATCCAGAAAGAAAGGAGAAATTCAAAAAAATCCACGAGTACAGCAAACAGTGTATTGAGGAAACTGGAACTACAGATGAAGTTTCAAAAAAACTCATTAATGGAGACTTCAGCGTTCGTGATGAAAAGGCTCAAGTGAGTATTATTAAATTAAGTCATGGACAACATATCTAGCCAAAAATCAATAAATATCCTTATCTTCTAGTGCTACGTAAAATGCTTCTTCAAGAAGTAAGTACATTTAAAATTAATTCTAAAACTCACCAACAGTTCTTGAAAAAATATTCAATCAACAATTAAAAATATTTCAGAGTTGGCATCATGAACGAAGCTGGTGAACCACAATCAGATGTCATCTTAGAAAAGCTTAAGAAGAAGAAGGTCGACACAGAAGATGTTGAAGGACTCGTTAAGGAATGTATAGGCAAAAAGGGTGAAAATGAATGCGAAACTGCTTTCAACATCTACGAGTGCTACAGAGGACATTACACATATAATCATGAACATCATGAATGCAAGAAGGACGAAGTAATGGGCGAAATGATTGAAGAAGTAAAAGAAGATGTAAAGGAAGATTTGAAGGAAGATGAGAAAAAACCAGAATAAGAATTTATTAAGTTTAACTCATTTTTGTAGAGTTTGATGAATAAAGATGCAAAATTAATTATTTGAAAGAACTGATGGTTTTTAATTGATTTATTTCTTAGCTTGGAATCATTTACATGGTCAAGTTTACGATTTTCAATAATACTTAAGAATAAGAGAGGACTTGACTAGAAAACTTGACTTTTATTTTGAATTACTTAAAATATTCAAATGTTAAGTTGAGTTCAATGGACTTTTGCTATGTTCTAATCTGGTTGATAGCTTGATTTGTTTAAAAAGCATCATAATGTAATTAATAACTTGTTCTGTGTAGCTAAATGGCAATTCTAAGACTAAAATTTTGGAACTTGATTCATGATAGACACCATTCATGGAAGGCACCTTATGTAAATCAATATTTTTCTTTTTATTCTGTTTATTTATAACTCAGGGGATTCCCATACTTATACATGATTTGCAATTCAAATTAAAAATTGACAACAACGAAGAAGAAAATAAGCAATCAACCGGCATTTCTGACAGATTCATCAATCAAAGCAAAACAAAAAGCTCTTAATTAGCTTAGAATTTGAGTTGTTTGGGTACAGATAAAATTTAAATCAGGGATTCAGCATGAAATTTGTTTAGGTTTTCTTTTTTTGACAGAAATTGAGCAAAAGGTTAGTAATTAACCTTCAGTCACTTTTGATCGCTTTGACAAATTTTTCCCTAAAACCTTAGCCCATTCTTAATCCCAATAATCACTAAATTCTCAAAATTAATTCTTATTCTCTATAAAATCTCTTTAGTATCTTTCAGAGTCAAGATATCAGTAACTCATCAAAATGAAATGTTTATTTGCTCAATCCTACTGCTCTTATCCCCACTACTTTAACTGACTCTTATAATTTGTTGTTGTTGCATGAAGAAGAAAAAAAAATCCGAGCTCTTCAGTATAAATTGATTCTCATCAGATTCGGTCAAATCATTTTAAACTCTTCTTTCAGTCGTTCTGGGTCATAGTGGTTCATAAGGTTCTGTGGAATTATTATAGTGTTGATAGTTGTGAAATAAAAAATAATAATAGCAATGAAATATATAATCGCAATTTTTGTTGCAATCAGCATTGTAAGTTTCACATTTGCTGAAGAGAATCACACAGACGATGCAAAAACTAAAGCAGAAGAATACATTACAGCTTGCAAAACAGAAACTGGAATTTCTGATGAGAATGCAAATAAAATTAAAGCCGGTGACTTTAGTGTGAGAGATGAGAAGGCACAGGTAAGTGTTGAAAGTGTTAATATGTGATTTTGTTGTCGTCATTGGAAGGGATGCTTGACCTAGGAGAGGCATAGGTGTCTTAAGCTGTGCGACATTTTTTTGCATGACATTTTTAATTATTGGCCGGTTTCTGGGGCTACTCAACTGAACTTCAAATAACGACAACCTGTTTTAGTAAAAAATACTCAATTTAGTAGTCAGTCTTTATCAATAACTCCAAAAATCAGTTCCCGATAGCTAACCATCACCTTAATTCACACATTGATAATTAAATCTTATTTACTAAAATTCTTTATTTATCATTTAGTGCTTCACACATTGCTTCTTCAAAAAGTGAGTCAGAAAAAATCCAAATAAATAAAACATACAATAATCATTTTTTAACTTACAGAGCCAGTTTCGTGAACGACAAAAATGAAATCCAGCCTGATATTATGATAACTAAATTATCGCACAAACCTAATGAAAAGAATGAAGCTCTTGAAACATTGATCACAAGATGTGCCAAGGAGAAAGGCGAAAGTGATTGCGAGACATCATTTAAAATTTATGAATGTTATCGAGGAGGTGCTTCATATGGTTCATTGAAATGATTATGAGGATGATCAGCGTCTCTTTTAGATTGTATGAAGGTTCTTTGACTTTAAATTGTGACTTAAAATATTAAAATTCAATAAAAAAATTTAAAAAATAAAATTTTAAATTGTTGATAAATTACAAATATTATTAAAAGTTCTATTCCATCTAGTTCAGCAACTCGAATTCTTTCTATCGCAAACTCATGTTTATCTCCAAAAAATAACAGACACATGTGGTCATCAACCTTTGTTTTTGTCTTATTTCATTTCTCTTTCTAATTTCCATAATTATGTCATGAAATTTCAGGTTTTCTTAATAAAATACACAAAAATTAACAGTTACTTGACTTACAGAGAACATTTCATAGTCCCACTTGAAGCTATTTTATGTTTTGGTCAATTTTAAATTTCTATAAATCTTATAAGTAGTTTCTAATATTCGTTTAGTGTAGCTATAACATTTGACCGAAAATGAAGCTTTCATTGAGTTTTTGTGTATTTTTGTATTGTGTTGTTGAGATTTTGGTGAGTTTTTATGATGAATTTGTGGATTCCAAAAATCCTTCCTAGAACATTTTAATTCCAAAAAGAGTTAACCGCCTCATTTTCCTACTATTAATTTGATTCAATGACTTTTTGATTAAACTTCAATTATCAAACAAAACATAAACTTTATTCTAGTCCCAAACAACACAAACTCTAGAATCTATCCGAGAAAGACAGAAAAAGCGACTTGAGATTAGTCGAGCTATGAGAACGTGCATCTTTGAGAACAGAGTGACTTACACATTAGCAGTTCAATATGGAAAAGGAGACTTCAAGGATGAAAGTGATAAAGGAAAATGTTTCTTGAAATGTTTTGCGGTTAAAATGAAGCTTTTTGATTCTGAGACTGGTAATCCACAGAAGGGGGAATTGTTAAACTATTCTTCATACTTGTCAGCTGAAGACCTGCCTGTGAGTAGTTTTTGAATTATTTTAGATTTTATTTGTCGATTTATTCAACCTTAACAATTCACAGTTCAATGAAATCATCGATAAATGTGACAAAGACACAGAACGAAGTGAGAATCAATGTGACTTTGTTTTCAGAATGTACAAATGTCTCTGGAATGGAATCAAAAATTCCCCTGAACCAGAAAGTTTAAGAAATTCATTCAATGATGTTTTTGGGTTCAATCAATTGTTTGATGATGGTGAGATAAAGGCAGAACTGGAAGCAGAAGCTGTTATGGATGAGACTGAAGTTAAGGAGGTTAAAGAAGCTAATGCTAAAAAGTAGAACTGTCAATTGCATTTTTTAAAACATCTTAAAATTAAATTAATTTTTGAAACATTTTTAATATTGAATTAAAATTTTTTCTTTAATTTCTTAGCCAAGTTAACACCTTTCAGGTAGCCGAACAATATTAAATTAAAATTTCAGCAATATTAACAAAATTTATTGCTCTTTCATAAAATTCTTAGTTTATTTTATAAGAAAAACATCTGAAAAACCGCATTGCGATTAAAAACTGCATAAAATTGTATAAACATTTACAAAATGCTGACGAAAAAATTTCAAAACAAAAAAATATTTTGAGTCACCAAATGGAATCAAAATTGATGATCAAGCTGGGTTGAAAAATAAAATTCAATTTAGAAACTGTTTGCTCATTTTGTGTCACTTGAATAATTTATAAATGCCTTTTATGAGTTTATTTAAAAATTATCTTTGATGTTAAGATAAGACTGTGAATCCTAAAATTAAGTGATAAAAATTCTAAATATTGAAATTAAAATTTTTGTGACAAGGAAATTAAGAGATGAAAATTTTTATTGCTAATGACATTAAAAAGTTTATTAAATTACGTGTTGGCATTTTTATGGGGAAGTAAAATATGTAAATTATTCAGATTTTGAATGCACATGTTGGAAAAATTCCGGCAGCACTCCAGCGTGAGACTGGATCGAGTTTCAATGTGTCATTAAACTGATCAGTGTTTATTGCAAATTGAACTTAACTTTATTCTCTGAAAAGCAATGTAAATTACTATAGCTAGTTATAACTGCAACAATTTGATGCTGAAGATTCTATACTTTAAAATTAATTCAAAATTTTTCATTTGGACCCCACAAGAAAGCCTTTCTACCTCGTTATCCTCAACAATTAACTCATTTTGTTCAACATTGATTGATATCATCATTTTATCTATGACATTTCCATTTATATCCTTTAACATCCCATTCATGTTATACCAACATCACTGGCCATTAGTTTAAATTAAATTAAACAAGATTCAAAAAATCAAGGAACATTATTAACTGAAATGAAAGTTGTAAGGCATAAATTTCATTTTTTTTCTTCTTTGATTGCACGAAATCAAAATCTCGAAATGTGATTGAAAATATTTTGTGTGTGTGAAGATTTGATGCTTGATTTGATATTATTCCTGTAAATTAAGTCACAGATAGGTCCTTGAATATTCTAGCATGTTAATTTTAATAGAAAGGACTCGAAAAAGGTTAAAAAGGACATCAAAAAAAGGCCAGAAGAGAAATTTGTTAACAAGATTTTTTTGACAACGATCTTTATCTTTTTCCTTAGCTTGTCTATTCCTTGATTTAAAAAAAAATCTCCTCAGGCATAAATTAAGAGAAGCATCAATGGCAACATAATTAAATTTAAAAAAAATCATATTAAAAATATTTTTTGTTTTTATTTCACATTCAAAGACACAAAAAATTTGATTATTATTATTATGATTGTAAGTATTTCGTCATTAAAAATGCGCTGCCAGCATTCTTAGCTTCTTAACATGAAAAGTGATTTGTTTTTATGTTGCTGGCATTTTTGTGAGGTATTGAAATTGCAAATTAAATTAAATGCGGTAAGTGAAGTGCTGTAATTTTTACTTTAACTCTTTTTTTCTGTAGCTTCTTGCCTGTGCTGCGTTATTTTGGATGATTTTTTTTTCACTTTCGCAATTAGTGGTGTACGCAAAATATCGAGTTGAAAAGCAATTTGATGGTGAATAAAAGTATTGAGCGCTGTTTCAAATTCAAAGTGCTAATCCACATTCTCTTTCATTCTATTCCAGTTTCGTTGGGAAACACAAACAATTTAAAAACCCTAGAACTATTTTGAATACGTACCTTAGCAATTTAAGTGCCCTTAAAATCTTAATGAAAAGTTTTTAATTTTCCCCCAAATTGACCAAACTCATCCCAAACCCAAAGCTAAAGAACAATTTTCATTCCAGCTTCTTTGCATAACTCTCTGAACAAGTAATACATCACGTGTGAAACGAAGAATTTATATTCGCACTTGCCAAAAAGCATCGCAGACCAGAATGAAGAAAATAAAATGATTTATTTGTAATTAAATGTGTTAGAGGCTATTTACATGAAATCCTACAATCCACTAAGCCATTAAATTTAATTAGAATGAAGTCCGATGTATAAGAACAAGTGTAGCTCATCAGCAGTCGTCATTATGTGGATATTGAAGTGTAATTTATGTGTTCTTCATTGCATGAAGATTATTATTCTTGCGCCTATGGTTTTAGTTTGTTTTTTAAGTCAGTGAATATAAAATTATATTTGCATTTACTCCTCGATGCTTTTCCATAAAGAAATTAAATTGCGAGATTAATTTTTAAAGGCATTTATGCACAGGTTTTTTTTCGTAACTTAATCGGATAAATAACAGACGAGAGAAACTGCATTGAATATTGTGGGAATAAACATAAAAATTTAAACACTTTGAATGGAGCATGATGGTGAATATTAAATTAGATGGACTGGGGATGTGTTTGGTTATCCAGGGGTCGATTTCTAGGGATATCTATAGAATCTTGTCAAAATTACAGTCAAAATTTTCAAAGTCAAGCTTGAGGCTGCTTAATCTTGTCAATACCTTGTTCTAGTAGATCAGAACTAGATTTCAGCTTTGATCCCTTAAAAATTCAATTTTAGAACCCCCAAAACATTCTCCATGACTTCTTTCACTTTTTAATCACCACAACTCAGTAGTAATGCATGCCAAATCGAGTAAAATATATTACCGATATAAAAATATATAAACGATATTATTATAAAGAATGTGGCCTCAAGTAAACAGATTTCTTCATTTCTCCTTCCTTCAAACCTGATTTTTTACGCGTGCCGCCGAAATGTAAAATTCTCATCAAATGTGAAATGTTTATAGACTTGTATAATCATTGAAAATCTTCTTACTCTAAGCTGTATTGCATTAATTTACTTCGTTTTTTCTGAGGGGAATAATTTTTTTGCGGAGAAAATCAGAGGATTTTTTTTTGGGGTATAATTCTTTGTAAAAACAAACATCAACGCTTGTCTAATTTTTGTTTTGCTCTTCACTCACCGCAAGAGATGTGAATAAGAAATTGAAGTTGCTTTTTAGAAGTAAGAAAAATGTAATAATTGAAAATAACAAAAATATATAATGTTGGATAAAAATGGGAAGTATTGTCATGAAATGTCATGTCTGTGGCTTAATCCTGAATAGCACAATTCGGGTAATCCAATAGAAATACGGCGCTAAGCTAGAATGACTCTGACATGATAAATCTAGCACCGTGCCCAATTTCTGATCGATTAACCGAATTATGCCATTCGGGAATGTTTGGAAGATTAATCGTCTCTCTACTAAGACCACAACAATAATGGCAAGCAACCAACAATGACCACTAGCTCGATTCAACTATATGGACGTAACTTCCACTCATTCCCATCATCCACAACCTAAGGTAATACAAACTAAACATCAAGAATGAAGAAACAAAAAAATAATACAATAAAAAGTGTGCGGAATGGATTAAAGTATTTGAAAATTGGCCTTTACTGCTCGAGTGTTATTTTTGTAGCCTCCTTTATGTGCCAAAAAAAAAAATTAAAGTTAGCCATCAGCAAAATGTTGATCTCCAAAAACACATCTACCGTCCGCGTCTAATCGCCTCGAAACACTCGATCGATACTCTTTATTTTTTATTGTAAGAGGCTAGTTTTGGGTTCTTTATGCTGTATAACATATAAATTTTTTTTGATATTAATAAACGGTGATTTATTGCTTCCACCTTATAAAAATTATTCTATTTTTTTAAAGTATTGACCGCGAAATTTGATTAAAGACTGAAGATAAGAACGTGGAGCAACTCTGTTAACAAGATCACATCTAAATTCATGTGTCTGATTTTTTTATGATGATATTATTCCTTTGGGGACATTGAAGGTTTCTGAATAAATTGGTTGGAAGTACTGAAAACTTTTAAGTTGACTTCTCATAGTAATTTGGTCCGTCACAAATATTTTGCCAATTTCTTTTTACGCTGACAAAAAATTTATTTCATATTCCCGCTAATGATATGTCATTTTCACACTTGCAGCCATAAAAAATCATTCTTTCACACTTGTTTTATAAATGCACTGCAATTTACAATTTGAAAAAGTTTTTTGAAATTTATTAAATTGCAATTTTTGGATGCTGTCGATAATAACAAGGTTGAACTTCGTAAAGGTGTGAAAAATATTATTTTTGTGTCTTAAAGATCCAATAAATGTATCATTATCACATTTGAGGCATGAAATTTTCTAGATATTGCGACCACATTTCAAGGTACATTATTAAATTCAATTGATGGACATTACATGATTAAAAAGAAGTTTGACGGAATTTTTCAGACACTCAAATTTGGTCATTAAATGTGGAATTTGTATGCAAATTTTCATATAAAATCAGGAATTAAATTTAAATTTTACTACAGAATAAGAATTAACTTACAATGTAGAACTAATCCTTTAATCATAAGACTCAATCAGCAGCAACAAAAGTCGTTCATAAACATTCAATTCATCATAAAAAAATTAGCAAACATTATTTTAACATTTTAAGACACTCAATCAACTCCTTTCCCACACTAAAAATCTTCATCCATAATCTAACATTATAATTTAATACGAAAATCTAAAATTTTACAGCATAAATTCATCCTAAGTACAACATATTAACAAGCATTTGCGCTCTTTCGTACACATTTTTCATAATCTTTGATCATAAATCATCAGCAGAAGTGAGTACATCCAAAAAAAATGTGCATCCGCATCACATTTCAATCCATATAATTTTACAGAATTATTTTTCGTTACACGAGGACCGCCAAAAATATCGCGATCGGTAAATTTTTCGTTTGATGCAAGCGAAATTTATTAAATTTCTGTTTGAAAAAAAAATATTTGATTGATGAGATTGCGGTGCTTCTTTATCTCACACTTATTTGTTTGAATATTGTCGTCTTTAATTTTCTCCTCGACTTACAACATGCTGGATTTTTTTTTTGTAGATTAAAATTTAATTAAGTTTTTTTGGGAGATTTCTGATGAGAATCTAGATTGTGAGGAAGCTATAGCTCAGATTAGGAGCAATCGCATTTCATGGTACTTAAAAATGACAAGGAAAGCGCCATTAAAACGCTTCTTAAATTATATTTCTGTACATTGATGCTGATACAGAAATTGAGA